ATTTAAATCAGAGAAAGCTCCTTTTAGTATTTGATTTATTTTTTAAACTCATTTGACAGTATTGGGCAATGCAAATATTTGCATGAAATGTTACTTTCAATTTTAATTATAAAAATAAATAATAAACATTGGGTTTCACGACATCCGTTACATATATTTTTTAAATCAATTGTTAATATACAGAGTATCCCATTTTAAACTGTTAAAAGTTGTTGGGTTTCTAGGGGGACATAAAATGATGCTATTAAATTTCTTGAAGGTGTAGGTGTCAAGGTGCGTTAATTGAGGGTCAACTTTTGTTAGATTTTTCTACATCTCTTAGATTCTGTATAAACAAGTCAAAAAATGTATTAAAAAATTCAACACTTCAAATGTTTAGTTTAAATTTTTTTTTTAAATACCTCGAATCATGTAATTTGGAATGTTAATACAACTTGGAACAAAACTTTGTTTTTCAGAATTTAATATACAATTGGCAGCAACACTTTCCTACACAGTTATGACCATTACACCGGACGAGAATAGGGCCCAGGAGTTTTCCATTGAAACATGTACTTATTATTTTGCAATAGAGTGTTTCAATTGTACTGTTCAGTTTATTAATAAAAAATATTACTAATTCACCCTAAGAAAACTTTTTCGCTACAGGTAAGTACATATAAAGCATGGCCTCCAATACTGTTAGGTTATGTTGTGTGATTTGTAGGCAGGTGAATTACTGGTCGTTTGATTTTTAACCGCGCGTGATTGTCAGATGTAGCTTAAAATGATGTGAGCAGGCGCGCGTTTGAGATGAGTTTGAAAACATGGAACACCGTTCCAAATTTTCAGATATCATTCCAAGTTTTCGACCATTTTCAACAATCGTTAAATGTGTTCAGTTCTGCTGCTGATGCTTGTACTTTTTTCAGAATTAAATTATGCCTCGCGTTACACGAAAGTCAGGCGCTCGAACGTACGCGGCATACTCTGAAGAAACATTACAAAAAACCGTAAATGAAAAAAATTTCGTTGCATAATGCATCTAAAAAATATAAAATATCCCTAGGAACATTGTCCCGCAAGTCTAGACAAATACAAATGAATAGATATGGCCAACAGTTCTCTCATTAGAAGAAGAAAACCGGATTGTTGATGGTCTGCAAGTAGCTGCCAAGTGGGGCTTTCCTCTCACTGTACGGGATCTGCAGAATGTTGTAAATTCTTACTTGGAGCAAACCGGAAGGAGCCCCTTTTTAAGCAGAACAGGCCAGGAAAAGACTGAATACTTCATTTCTGTAACAAACATCCCCAACTCATCTACAGATTATTAAAAGAAATAGAGCAGAGGTATCCAAAAAAAGAATTTCTGCTTATTTCTAAAATTTAGAAACTTCATTGAGAGATGTTCCTCCAGAGGCTATCATTAACTATGACGAAAGTAATTTGACCGATGATCCTGGACGAATGAAAGTCTTAGTCAACAGGGGTGTGAGGTAACCAAAGCGATGTTTAGATAGCTCAAAAATCAGCATATCCATTATGTTTGCATGTAGTGCTAGTGGAGCGTTCCTTCTTCCATATATAATTTATTAGGCAGAGCACCTCTACGATTCCTGGACTGAGAGGGCCCGTAAGGAGCAAGATATAACAGATCTAAATCTGGATGGATGGAAAACTGTTTTAGGATTGGTTTTTATCAATTCTTTTACCCTACATAGAAAAGATGGCTCCAGGTCCGAAAGCTGATTGGAGACAACTTGTCAAGCCACCTGTCTAAGAATGTGATAAGAGAATGCCAGAAAAATAATATAAGATTTATTCTTCTCCCCGCTCACAACACCCACATCTGCCAGCCGCTTGATGTGAGTGTATTTAGGTCACTTAAAGCTGCATGGCGTAAACAACTTCTACAATGGAAATTATCCAATAAAGGTTGTGTCTCAAAAAGTCAGTTCCCCTCATTGTTACGTGCCACCCTCAACATTATGGTGAAAAGGCTACCTGGCGGAAACAACACAGATCCTCTAAATAAAACTGCATTTACTGCTGCTCTGAAGGAACACCTTCACACAATGTGATATAGCAAAGAAAAACCTCCAGAACAGAAGAAAAAAATAATTGTAGTTGAGCCTGGAAAAAGTATCTTTGGAATTCAAGAAAAGGATAGTAGTACTTCTGACGAAGAGGAGATTAACATTTCCCTTCATGATACAGACACTTCGGTCGAACCAGAAGATTTTAGTGAAATCATAGAAGATCAGGACTTAGACAATGATATCCTAGAAGATGAGATTGAAGACAGCAGTTCTGAGAAGAATGATTGCGATGAAAATAACCTGACAATGGAGAAGGCTGAGGAGCGCAGTTTTATATTGGCTGCCTTCCCTATTCAGGGCAAAAAAACAAAAATTTCGAAATTATGTAGGAGAAGTATTAAAAACAATGGAAGAAGGCAACTTGTTTGAATGCAAGTTTCTAAAACCAGTCCGCTTTACAAAAGTTATTTTCACCTATCTCCAAGTAGATGTATGTGTAATTTAAAAAACATCAAATCATTGAGAATTTATCGAACGCCAAAAAAGAATCTTCCAATGTAATTTTGTGTAAACCTGTCGATGTTTAAACAAGTACCTGTCAGAGATGTGAATATTTGTGATTACCTGTTATTCAGTATAGGCATTATATGTAGAACATAATCTATGTTTAAAATATATTTAAGAATATTTTTCATTTGTGTTTATTTCTTGCATTGTTACACAATTTATTACGTCTTTTTAATAAAAATTTTTTTTAGTTTCTTTTTAAAAATTAATATCATGTTCCAAGTTACCATAGCGCACGTAAATAACTTGGAACATCAACGTATTTTTTTTAATAATCGACAATGGCTGAGACAAACGAAATAATCAAAATCATTTCTTGGATGGTTGGCCTCTCATACAAACATGTGATCGGTGGAAATAGTATCTACTTTTAGGTGTATATGGCATCTGAGAATTTTAACAACTTATTCCAAGTTACACATTTCTACGGTACATTATGTTGAAAGATATTATTTTACTGAGTTATTCTTTTTGTTATATTTATTAATTAATCTAATAAACATTGAGAGGGACATTTAAGGGCTGACCCTTCAGTTAATTTTTACTTTAAAAATATCGCCCATCAATTTTATTATTTCTTCAATAAAAAACAGAAAAAACTTTATTTTCTATTTTTATTTTTAGAGGACTTCCAGCCAGGTATATGGACAATTATTTATCCTACGTTTCGTCCGAGTTTTCGGACTTTTTCAAAGGTTAAAAGCTAAAAATAATGGTTTTACATAAGTTTTAAATTAGATTAGTGACAGAATACATATCTAAAAAAGTGTTTTCTTACCTAATATAAATTTTCTATTTTAATTTCATTATATGGGCTGGTTTTATTTGGCAGGTATATGTTGTAGTTCGACGAGTTAGACAGAGAATGATCAGTATTTGGTGTCGTCGTTGTGTGTTCTTTTTAAGAGTAGGTAATTATAACAGCTGATAGTATATACTATCAGCTTTTATAATTACCTACTGATAGTATATACTATCAGCTGTTATAATTACCTACTCTTAAAAAAGAACACACAACGACGACACCAAATACTGATCATTCTCTGTCTAACTCGTCGAACTACAACACATACCTGCCAAATAAAACCAGCCCATATAATGAAATTAAAATAGAAAATTTATATTAGGTAAGAAAACACTTTTTTTAGATATGTATTCTGTCACTAATCTAATTTAAAACTTATGTAAAACCATTATTTTTAGCTTTTAACCTTTGAAAAAAGTCCGAAAACTCGGACGAAATGTAGGATAAATAATTGTCCATATACCTGGCTGGAAGTCCTGTAAAAATAAAAATAGAGTTTTTTCTGTTTTTTATTGAAGAAATAATTTCTACTTTAACAGCCAACAACTTGTAAAATATCATCTATCAATTTTATTGTATTCTAGTACCCTTTTACTCCAAATTGAATATTGAATTCTATAATAAAAAATGCACCATTCCGTTTTATAAAACAAAGTTGACCTTGAAATAACCTTGACATCTCCATCTACAAAAAACCTAATAAGACCATTTTATGCCTCACTCGAAACCCTATAATTTGCCCAACATTTTTAACATGCGTACTGTTTATCAAGATAATCTGGCCATACTGTTAAAATGGGGCATCCTGTATACATATGAATGGACACAAATACAACATAATATAAAATCAACATTTTGAAAAGTATGGAACATATAATATAATTCAATAAATTATGTTATGGCGAACTACTTGCAAAGTTTGCTTTCGATGAATATTTTCACTACAGGACCAGGACATCATCTTTAATCTGGCTTACAGCATGTTGACCAAATTCTCAAACAGCTCACCACAACATAAAGAATTGATCTACCTAAGATTATATTCAAAACATGGCAGGTTTGCTCTATTTGTATAGGCATTGGATAAAATTAGGCAACTCAAAAATTAAAATAGTTTTAAATAATGTCATATTAAACAGGATGTCAAAATCTAAAACAAAGATAAGATTTTTACGTTGTTAAGTTGGCAATAATTTTTTAGGTTAAGTAATGTCATTAACGGCATGACAAAAAAAAACAGGGACGACACTGACAGCAGTTTGTAATGAAAAGGGAATTTTTTTGTCCAATTTAACAACACAAAAATCTATCTCTAGTTGGGATTACAGAAAGTGAATGGATCTAACACATTTTGGACTTTTTCTGTTTTCTCTTTAGTTATAAATTTGGAACATACCAGAAATAAACAATGAACGATCAACTTCAGCTACAGATACATGTATGGCAAATAAAAAATGGTTAATTTTCAACACCACAGGCAAAACAACCTCCTGTGTCCCTGAAAGTACCTCTAGGTACCTTGTGTGGGAGAGGGCTACACATTTAGAGCCAATGGACACACAGCCAATGCCCGAGTATGCTAGGAACAATTTCTGGTTTAGAAAAAATACTAGCTCCTCAACCAGGAATCAAACCTGGGACTCCAGGTGAGAGGCAAGTGTCTTTACCACTCAACCATGAAGCCATATGGTTCAAATCAGGACAGTTTGTGGTTAAGTGAATTATATTATGTTACTAGGCTCGCACAAAAAAAAAGGACAATTGTATTCAGATATAGGTAGACTGATATATAGAAGTCTGAATACTACAGAGAGAGTTGGCTTATTTTTGGTAAAATTTACTCCTGTTTAAATAAATTCCTATGCAGGAAAATTTTAAAAACTCGATGGTCTAAATGTGGATTGTTTTTTTATCATAAAGAATCTTGCATCTATGTATTTATGTTTATAAAATGTATTGACTAATTTAAAAAAATCTGTATGTTTTAAATACTGATATAAAAGTGCATTAACCAAACACCAGTACTGCTATTTTCATTCACAGCAGGACATCTTTAATGCTAAACATAATTCAATTTACTCCACAAAATCATGTTTTGGGTTGTGTTTTTTTACATGGTATTTACAGAATGTTTTCATAATTTATCCTAATAGTAATAAATGAAGAATAAATATGTAGTAGAGAAATATTAACATACATTTTTTTGATATACCTAAGAGCTAACATTTAAGGCCCCCTGTGTCAAGTTCATTTATAGTACAAGAAATGCTTTAATTATACTACATTTACGTTGTCTGCAGCAGTCTCATTTTTTTTTAATGGTTATCATGAAGTTTTAAAATGAATAAAAAGTAATTTGTTAATTAAATCTAAATGTGAAAAATGATATTTTAGCAATTTTATCATTATCATTTAATATAATATACGATTTACGAGGATGTACCAATTTAAATTATGGTAGGGATATACAGTGTCCGCCAAAAAAGTGTGCACTGTATGGAAATTTTTTTTATTCAATTGTTTTTTTTTAAACGGGTTTCAGCATGATTAACAACCACAAAATTGCCAAAAATATTTGACTTGTCACAACTATGACACCTCAAAGTCATTAGAAATTTTAAAATAGCCTGAAATGCCCTTATTTATCAAAATATGGAAAATTACAATAAGGAAAAGTTACTGGGATATGCATTTTTAAAGCTTATAAGATGTGACTGTACTTTTGCACATAAATAATGCTACAACACGAGTCTTTCGTCCATTTAACGTAACCATACTTCATGGGTATAAAATAATACATGAATAAAAGCTATCTGAATAAATACAATTTGCGTTTCTCAGGCACTAAAATTTCCAACTGTCACGATAAGTTTGGAACGCAAAAGAATCAAAAATATAGTGTTTAGACAAATTTTCAATGGCTATTTTTTTGGTACAATAACTTAGGACAAATATTATTAGAAGAGAATAAAAATATTTTCAATATTTTTCAAGTTAAAATATGAACTATATTTATATTTTAACTTGAAAAATATTGAAAATATTTTTATTCTCTCTTTTTCCAATAATATTTATCTGAAGCTTTTGTATCAAAAAATAGCTGATGCTTTGATAATTACTTCTCACGTAATTTGAGTTTGTTTTATGTTTAATTTTATTACGTTAGCCAGATAACCTTTTCCTACGTGAATTAATGCCCTCTGCTGCCGACAACATGAAAGAATAATAGAAAAAATTCCTACAGTAGAGCTAAAACCCAAGTCCTCAACACATTTTTCAGAGCTTCAGTCATATTAACTAATTCGTTCCCAATTATTTAAATTGATTTGAATACCGTAAGTTATTAAAAAAATAATATTCTTACATTCCAAATCAGTTTTAAATTTTAATTTATTTAGCAAATAACTGTTGCTTAATTTTTTTTTCTGATCCAAATATGGTTAATGTTCGACTTTAGCTCTACAATAAAGATTTCATATTTTTAAATATAAATGTTTGCTGAATTTGCATACATTTAAACTACTTTTTATTACTCCTAAAAATTGAAGTACACAGAACAGTGTAGAAATTAATGAAGTTAGAAACAACTGACAATCAAAAAATGTCTTTATAATTCGGGTCCTATGTCGGTCAATTTATGTAAAAAAAAATGCTGCTTATTGCAAGTTTTTATTATCTTGATAAATCTAGTTTTAAAAATATATCACATAACGTAAACACGGTTGCATAAATTCATTTATATTCTCCAATATGAAACCTAACCTAATATTTTAAGTACACGAGAATGACAATTAATTCTGACTTTGGCAAGTTATTTCCTTATCCAACCGGAATTTTTTTATTGGTATGGTGTCCTAGGATTAACGTTGATCATTTCACTAGTGCTAAAAAATAAAAAAAATACATAACTATTTTGTACACTAATACTAGAACTTACCTTTTTCCACATTTAATATGAATAAACAATAATGCTATCCCCAAAAGCAAACAAACACACCCAACGACAATATATGCAATACCAAGGAAAGGGTTTTTACCACCCAAGAGTGAAGTGGTGCTCAAAATCATTCGCTTAGATCCATCGAAACTGCTAACGTCATAATCTGCAATAAAAGCATTAATAACTAAATTTATTTTGAAAATAATACAAATTAAAAAATTTACTTTCAGGCACTTTCACTTTAACCCTTTCAATACGATTGCCGTGTTATCACGACCAAAACACTTTGTGCCCACTGAACGGTTGACGAGATTTTACAAAAGCATTTTTCATGTGGAGCGGTTGTCGTGTGATCATATTCAATTTATTTGTTACATTCTATATTGTATTGGGATGTACTAAAACGTCAATGGCTCACCCACTTCATTATTTATGGCCCATGATAGGTCAAGGGAATAAGTGGTGCATAATCGTCTTGAATAGTTTCGCACTGAGGAATATGCTAATGAAATAATGAGGGATGAAGATGAAATGGAAACTGATAGTGTATTCCCGATTTTGTGGACGATATTTCTCAACAATTTACTGATAATGAGCTTCCGCCAGAACCTGCCGAATATAATTGGACTTTTCACGTGAATGGATTCCCCAAATTTATGTGTATGAAAACACTGTGGGCCCTTCTCCAAATATTAACAAAAATTCTTCGGCAATAGAAGTTTTTGAGCCATTTTTTACGGAAGATTTAGTAAATAAAATAGTAGAGGAAAGTAACAGATGGGCGAGAGAACTGAATGAGGTGAATGAAACATTCGGTTGACTTAATTGGACGGTAAGGTGGTGCCATTAGAACGGTTGTCGTGCGATTACGTAACAACCAACAATGCCTCGTTCACAAAACACTGGTAGCATGCGATATTGCTCGTATCGAAAGAGTTAAGCAAAGTTTTTATGTCAAATTAAACATAATACTGTACTTACTATATACAATTTTAAGTTCATAGTCCCCTTTCCTTAATCCATTGACAAAACCTTCTTTACTATGATCAATTCTGCGATACAATTTCCTGAATGTAGGTAGTGCTGCAGTTCGCATCCACACTATGAGATCTTCATTTTGGAAGCCGTTGTTGTCATCATTTTCAGTATCAAGTTCCCATACATTCACTTTCCAGGCCTTTGGTTTGGCAAAATTAGCAAAGGCTTTCTTTTAAGTCACCAGGAGGATTACGGAATTTAATTTTTCTGTCCGAATCCCAGGCTATGCCAGTATTTAATAGAGGCACATCTTTTTTGTTGGTGTTTACCCACATGGAGAGGCTCAGTCTGTCTATAAAATAACAATATTTTATAAAAGCAGATACCTACCCACCATTTCTAAGTTTTAATAATAATAATAATAATAATTTATTGATCCAGAGAACTTACATAGTTATAGGATAAGTCAATTGAAAATAGACAATATCAGCAATACATTACATTACATTACACAGTACATTAGAAGAAAAAAAAAAAAAAAAAGGGTAAAAAAAATCATTTATATATGTATAACAGATTCACAACGAATTAAAATTACAATTTAAAAATATCAAGATACGAGTGCAAAAATGCTTGTTATAATGCAAAATCGTGCAGCAAAAACTCTTCCTCACTATAAAAGCAATGTGTTAATAGCAGTTTTTTTATTTTTACCTTAAATTTACTTGCAAACAAGTTTTTATATTCATCAGGTAATTTGTTATAAAATATAATGCCTTTATATTTTGGGCACTTTTCAAATTTTGAGGTTCTATGTCTTGGAATTTCAAGAGTATTTATGTTTCTTGTATCATATGGATGATTGTCACCCAATCTTTTATAGTTTTTAATGTTTTTCTGTGCATTTATTAATATTTGATAAATATATATGCATGGGAGTGGAAGTATATTGTATTGTTTAAATAAAGGTTTACATGTTGTTCTACTGTTTACATTGGCAAGAATTCTTACTGCCCGTTTCTGCATTATAAAAATACGATGAGCTGTAGTTTCTGAGCCCCAGCATATTAGACAATATGAAATTATTGAGTGTATCTGCGCAAAATAGAAGGTTTTAAGTATAAAAATATTGACAAAAGCCTTTAAGTGTCTTAGGGTAAAACATAACTTAGAGATTTTGTTGCAAACATTGTCTATGTGGTGATTCCAGGTTAAAGTAGCATCAATTTCTACCCCCAAGAATTTATATGTTAATTTTTGTTCCAAACTTTTGCTATTATATTTTATTAAACTACTATGATCGTATACTGTGTGATTTACAGAGAATTTTATAAAAACAGTTTTTTCCTGGTTTAAAAGTAGTTTGTTGCCTGACAACCAAGTATTGGACGAGTCAATTGCGGCACATATTTGAATTCGTAAGTTTTCCTCATTCGGAGATCTACCTAAGAGACTGACGTCATCAGCAAACATCACAAGTTCAGCAGTTTTCATAAAATTTGGAAAATCGTTTATGTAGATAATAAAAAGTAAGGGTCCTAGGACCGATCCTTGTGGAACACCTATATTACAGTTAAGTGTTGTAGATTTTCCATTATTGACTTCTACATGATGTCTCCTTTCTCTTAGGTAACTTTTAAACCACTCATAAGGCGTACCTCGCACACCATAACATTACATTTTATATAATAGGATCTCATGGTCCACGAGATCAAATGCCTTGCTGAGATCAAGGAACAGACCAATCGCCTGATCACCCGAATCCA